CAGGCTTGTACCCAGTAGATACTGGGTTTTTAGGCCATGTCGTAGTCGAGCGGTAGGGTTTGCTTTGGGATATCGTAAACTGGGATCCAAGATTTTTTCTACTGCATTCAACTCTTTCGTTTGTCGGACTGCTAGATGGATAAGTCTATTACCGAAAGACATAACTACTTCCAAAAGCTCTTTGGAATTTCGCAGAAAGTTAAACTCTGTCAACGTTTTAGAAGTTTTGAATATTTCCGATGTGTGATAATTGCGTTGCCTCTTTAATGGCGCCGCATCTACCTCAGTCTTTCCCAACTTTCGTTTGATTTTTTGTTATGATTTTTTGCAACTGGCTCAACACTTTTTGGCTATTTACGGCAGATCTTTGGAATTTTTGCATATTTTTCTCAATACCTAGCACTAAAAAAAAGTTTTTTCCTAATGCCCTATTGCACCCGTTTTCGGCAGAATTTAGATCGCTTCTTCGTATGTTAGCCGTTTGATGATATCGACGACTGATGAGCCCTTTACCTTGAGATCCCCCCACCCCGCTCGCCCAGGGTCCCTGACGGATTCGTCCGTTCCGGGTTAAGTTGGTCAGCCAAGCCCTGGTAATTGTGACGTCATGATGTTGCGTTCGGGCATGGGAACAGGAGCTCGGCAAAGGTACCCCTCATCGTTCGAAGGAGGAGAACGACCTGAAGAACCAGGAGGACGATCATTGTATTCTGTCCAGACGGTCCACTTATGTTACCTTTGTTGTTTTACTTTTGGAACACCATGTGTGTATACATAAATAAATAAAATAAATAAATATAGCCACGAGTTTGAAGAACGAGTTTTGAGTCAGCATGATTCTTACAGCAAATATCGTGCATTGTTCTAATGAAGCTCTTTCTGTGCAGGACTCATTTGAAAAACATTTATTTCCAAAATAAGAAGCTGAACCACCATTTGTAGCTTCACAAAATGCCGAAAAATCTTACGTGTGGAATGATTGGTTAATGTTAGATAATGCAAGTCATTTACAAAGGGAGAACAATCTTTACTATAGTTGGGACAGAATATTTCCCGAATATTCGTATTCGAATGATTCATTCGAACTAGAAAAGTTGAAGGTTTATGAAAATGTGCTTATGCAATTATTCGAGAAGTCGAATAATGTAAAAGACCATTATTCAAGTATTTGTTCATTCGACGAATCGAAAAAACAACTTGTTCGAAATTTTATACGAATAATCGAATAATTGAATAAGTTATTTTCCGATTCTTTGAACGAACAAATATTCGAATGAAGTCTTCTTCATTTGTTCGACTATTCGAATAATCAAATAAATGCACTTCCCTAAAAAATTGGACTTCTCTAATTCGAATAAATCATGCGAATACGATTATTCGGAAATATTCGGCTCCAACTATAAGCCATTCTGATCCACTTTCGATGTGGAGTTTGGACAGTAGTAGTATTTGGTGTAGAAACTTTCGTACTTAAGCATAGTAATTCTACCGTATCCGCCGAAGAAGAGACAGGAAAAAACATGATGATCGGGTTTACTTCGTTTGGCACACGCTACATGAGTAGGTGTCTGAAAACATTGAAACATGACAGCGTAATTTAATGATGTGTAAATGCAAAAGGAAAATCAATTCTGTCCTTTTATTCATATGGATATGCTCTTTTGAATATTGCTACCCTAATTTCACGCGTAAGACGCGCGAGTTTTTTTTTCCAAAATCGAACAGCACAGACACGCCGAAGGACTTCACAACCAAGGAATTATTTTTAGTGCTGCATATTGCCTGAGAGTATAGTGCGGCGTAAGTCTCGTTTTCCGAAACACAACGAGCGGCTGAGCGGCACGTTTGAAAAACCGAAAAAGGTGCGTTTTTAAGGCGTGAAATAAGGGTAATTTTCGTAACAAAGTAGTGGCTGTACTGCTTAAACGTATTTAACACGTTGCGTCAGAAATGTAAATTTGGATTGCGAGTCACACTTGTCTTTCTGATAATGGACTGCGAGAATGGAGTACAAGCAGGCATATCTGGCTTCGCCTAGTGTTTCTCAATTAATCACGACAAAAGCATCATTCTCTCATCTCCATAAAAGAAGTCTCGCGACCTGCTGCAAAATGCGCACAAACCAGCCTTCCTTGCCCCTTGTGAGTAATAAAAAGATATTTTGATATACAGGGTGTCCCAAAAAATGTGAACATTGTTTGATCGTTAATAACTCCGTTGCTTTCAAGTCTTTCGCCGAGCTTGGCGCACCATTCTGTAGAGCGAGGTTCAGCTTAGATTTGTGGTGTTGAGCGAATCACCGATCGCTCTTCATTAATGTAGGATTATGACATGAACTTCTGGTATGTGGATTTATTGTGAAATATGCCATTTGACAAAATTTTTTCCAAAAAATCTGAAAAATCGTGTATTAGGGTTTTCGCGCACGCTGATTCCATAACACAACTTTTTACGATTGTTTTTAGCTTTTTTGACGGTGTAATCACATTTTTGACAAATGCTGGAAACTCGGTCATTTACGTTTACCTGGAATAACCTTAGACAGAAGCGCCACAGTGAAGTGAAAATTTCATATTTGAACTCAGCGGCTTCCACTACCCATGTATAAAAGTTTTTGGCTTGTTTAGTTTTGTTCCGAGGCAAAATATGGCTTTCAACGGCTTAAAATCCTTGTCAAAGTTCTTACCGTAATCCTACAGTAATGAAGAGAGATCGACGACTCGCTCCATACTACGGATCTAAGTCAGACCTCGCTCTATAAAATGGTGCCTTAAGCCCGGCGAAAGAAATGAAAGCAACGGAGTTATTAACGATCAAACAGTGTTCACATTTTTTTGTGACACCCTGTGTATTTATCCAGAAAAAAATTTTGGTATCTGGCTGTCGCTGTGCCCTCTTCTCACAGTTTAGTTACAAGACCACATTCGTAATCTTCTCAAACAGCCCAAATTTGCAAAAAAAATTTTTTTTGCCTCCCTTCACCAACACCTGGAGGCATAAATTGAATAGACTACTCTACAAAGACAAATATGGAAGATTTCTCTTGTTTGTTAGAATGTCTCAAAAGTTTTCGTCCACGTCGATAATAAAGCATCGTTTGACAATACTCGAAAAGCATTCAATGCATTAGAATTTAGTTACCACGGGTTTTCTTAGAAAATACTCTTCAAAAACTTTAAGAGCTAACTTGATTTTGCAACCTGAGATAACTATAGTGCGGCGCATACTTGTTCTACATGACAATACTCCTTCAAAACGCTAAGATAGAAAGTTTTTGGAAACTTTTTGGCGTTATTGTAGGGTCTCAAAGGCCATAGTGACAACAGAGAAAAACGGGATTTGTCATTTCAGCCTTTTTCGTGTCACGCGATCGTTCTATTTCGTAGAGCAATGTGACGCTAGAAGTACTTAGAGCAATTATGCTCATGCCATGATATGCTACAGGAACCCTCAAAAACCCAAAATATTGAAGCTTGAGAGAAAACCATAGAAGTCAACCACAAACACCTATCGAGTTCAGTCAACAGGTTTTCAAACTTTCATGCTACTTCAATTCCAAAATGTCACTTAAAGCCGAAGTTAGGCTCAAACAAATAGAAGAAAATCGCCGCTATCCAAAAATAGCCAAATTTTCAATCACCCTTTTCAAAACCAAACAAAATTACGGGCTTATGAGATGGAAGTAGGTTTGAAATTGCGAATAAGGTTTTGCGCTCAATGCTCAACTGATAAGTTAATTATGCTATTGATGCTATAATTTTATATAATTTATGTATTTGCTGAAATAAATTTACCAATTAATTATTTATCAATTATATGCTCCTCTTTATGCAATATTCTGCTGCGTCACTTCATAGTAGCGTTACTTTACTTTGAAATACTTTGAATTTGAGTATTTAACTATATCTAAATCAAAGATACCGAATAATCGATTCTTGAATTTGAAAAAGAAAAAATATAGCTATTTCAAGCATATACAGGGTGTCCCAAAAAATGTATCGAACGTTTGATCGTTAATATCTCTCTTCCCAAGAAGTCTTTTGCCTTGCTTCAGGTACCATTTTGTAGAGCTGGCTTCAACTTAGATTTCCATTATAGAACAAATCACCCATCTCTCTTCATTACTGTAGGATTGCGGTAGAAACTTGAAACTAATGGTGTCAATGTGGAAAAAGCTGCCGTTTCAAAATTTTTCAAAAAATGTGAAAACTTGTGTGATAGGGTTCTTATGGACGCTGAGTTTAATACTCAACTATTCACGAGATTACGAAGCCTTCTAAACGGTGTAACCGCAATTTTTAGGAACATTGAAAAATGGCCGCTACCTCTTACCTGGCATAACTCTTCAATGAAGCATCATAATTAGTTGGGAACTTTACAGTTATAATCAGCAACTCTAATTAGCCTAGTGTAACAGTTTTGAGGCTGTTCTGTTATCTCTCTGAGGCAAGATATGGCCTTTCATTGCTTAAAACCCTCTTTGAAGTTTCTACCGTAATCCTACAGCAATGAAGAGAGATGAGTGATTCGTTCTATACTGTAAATCTAAGTTGAACATGCTCTACAAAACGGTACCTGAAGCAAGGGAAAAGCCTTCTTCAAAAGAGAGATACTAACGATCAAACGTTCGATACATTTTTTTGGGACACCCTGTGCATAGCTAATGAAGTAATTACTTCAATAAATCTATGCCACGAATAGCCTCAGCTGCCTATATCGCCACTGGAGGTAGATTGTAGCAGTGCCACCTAGCCAAGGCGTAGCCACAGTTAATTCTGAACGGCTCTGGCTTGATGAAGCTTGACCCAGATTCGACGACAAATTTTCACTAAGATTTGATGTCAAGTGCGAATGTATGATTATAAAACATGGCGGACGTTTTATGAAGTAAAATGTGAAAAAAAAGTTCAAACGCAACTGAACTTTTCTGTTTGCTATCGAATAATTACTAAACGAGTGCTGTAATTTGGACGAGTGACAGTGGATGAACGATCTTTTATTTAATGGAGTGGACATAAGTACTGCTTACTCACCTCCTCATAACAAAACTTTATATATTCTTGTCCAAGCAAATTAGCGATTTCATCTTCCTTTATTTTATCTTCTTCATAGACTTTGCGTGGTCTAAAATGGAAAAATGAGGGAAGAGATGATAATGCAGATTTGGTAAAGCTTACCTATATGGGAATGGCCTACACTGCGGATTTACGAACGACATATTGTCGATATTAGCTAATGCACAACGGTCGGCTTTTCCCTCCTCCTCTGGGCAGTATTTCTAGAAAGGGCAAACTTGCAGTCAGAATCTGTAGATCGCAAGCTTTTGCTTGGCAAACAGTGTCTGAAAGATTGTACTAACTAGTTTGGGAATTCCTTTGAAGTAATTGTTAAGCGCAGTCAGTGCTTTCATTTTCCATCTATAGTCAGTCTTACCCAACTTCTCCAGTTCTTTCCTCCAATCAGTCTCACCCTTACAACGATTTCTTGCTTCAGCTGGCATCGGTAAAACCTGAATAACTTATTGTCAGTAGCCACAAACGAGCTGGATATAAGGTACCTCAACTAGTGGTAAAACCACGAACAAATGGATGAACATTGCGATCTAATTACTTTTGATCATCCACGTTTTTATATCGATGGACAAGTGCACCTGAGTGCTTGCACTGGCTTATTGTGCAAGCAGCTTTATTTAGCACTAGCTGGCTTACCCGGCTCCGCCGTATGTTCCAAATAGAAAATTCCATTTCTTAACCGATCCGGACCAAACTTGACACACATAGATGAAAACGAAGTGTCAATATAGCCTTTAAAGATAGAAAAGGAAAGAGAAAGAGAAAAAGAATATACCAAGAAAAGACAGAACCTATAAATGTTTTTGCGCATACTGGTTTCGGGGCTAAGAACTAGACCAGATAAGCGACCTTCCTTGGTGCCCCCGTGTCGAAACACTTTTATCAGTAGTTCCCAAGGAAGTGTCCAAAACATAACTTATGTGAAGGCATAAGAGATATGATGAAACGTAGTAAAGAGATATTGAAGCAAACATGTCTTACTGTTATCAGATGTACTTTCGAAGATTCATTCTATTTGAAAGAATTATTTCCCGCCATTATAATCTTAGTTGGTAATGGGCCACGCATTCCGCACCTCATGCACAAGAGGCAAATGCACACTAGTACTAAATCCATATTTACGTAAAATAAAAGGTCTATTTTGAAAGATAAGATATAATGCTCTAATAAAATTATTTCTTTCCCAACCATTTCTTGCTGAAGTCATTCCTATTTCAAAAATTCTCTTTTTGAAATCCAGAAAATCAGAGCAGTTTCTATAGATTCTAACTATTTCGGATGCAAGTGTATTGAATATGATAGATCTTGGTATATTGGACGTCCAATTTGGATATCTAGTAACGTTGAAGTTATAATTATCGGTTTTATTATACATAGAAAACTTAATGCTACTTTCTCTAAGGGAAATAGTAAGATCCAAAAAATTCGTTTGTAAGTCTTTGCAAGCTGTTGGTTCGATTTCTAAAGAAGGATGATATATTTCTTTGAGTTTATTCGTAAACAAAGATACGTCGTAGGACATATGTAGTATGTCATCAATGTACCTAAATGTGTAGTTATATACGAATATGTTACTGTTTCTATCGTCATTTGTTTTCTGATAAAAGAATATTCCATGTATGCTAAAGTAAGATCTGGGCCGGTAGTACACCTGTCGAAACGGCAGTTCAAACTTAGAGTTAACTCAGAGTTAACTCTGAGTTAACGCGCACCTTCCGGGGACCATTAACACCTGCATAAGCAAACCAAATTGGGGAAAGGGTTATATGGCAGGATACCCCGCAAGACGTACTTTATGCCAAGTATGGAAACGTAGCGTAATTCGTTCCACGCGAGACGCTACGCGAGTTAACGCGCAGCTCAGCTGCGCGTTAACTCTGAGTTTGGTGCGCGTTTCAGGCTCGCGCGAAACTCGGAGTTAACTACGAGTTTCGTTAGAGAAAGAGAAATAGTGCGTAAAAGCAGAGGTCCAGAAAAAAGTCCTCCGGGGTAGATTTTGCTCCGAGTTTCATGAAGCATGATGGGGGGGGGGGGTATCATGGTGCACCGTTGAACACAAAAATTTGAAATTTTTTAAAATTCTGGTCGTGGGGGTTATCCGACGCGCTAATCACGAATCCGATGCTCATTTTTCGCCATTCGCCCACATAAGGGGGTTACGGTAGGGATACGGTAGTTGGGCGAAAGTCACAAAATTGGCTGAAACTTGGTACACTGGGGTTATTTTGCATGCTGATCACGAATATGATGTTCATTTTGAACTGCGTGACCATTTAGCGATGTTACGGTAGGAATACGGTAGTTGGGCGAAAGTCACGAAATTTGCTGAAACTTGGTACACTGGGGTTATTTCGCATGCTGATCACGAACATAACATTCGTTTTTCGCTACGGGACCACGGGGCGGGATTACGGTAGGTATACGGTAGTTGGGCGAAAGTCACATAATCGGGTGAAAATTGGCTTTGTGGGGTTTCTTGGCACGCTGATTACGACTATGACATTCATTTTTCACCATTCGCCCACATAACGAGGTTACGGTAGGGATACGGTAGTTGCGCGAAAGTCACAAAATTGGCTGAAACTTGCTCAGGGATTCGCGCCGTGCGGGCGGTCCTCATTAAAGCCCCTCCGCCTGAGCGCACTGCATAGTTTTTGATGTACCGTGCGTGCGGTCAACAATAAAAATGCCGTGCAAGCGGAAGGCAGTCTTCCCGTTCGATCGGCACGCAATAAAATCGACCGTGCAAGCGGCAGGCAATGCGTCCGCACGATCGCCCAGCAATCACTTGATCGTACAAGCGGCAGGCAATCTCGCCGCGCAACCGGTACGCAATAAAATGGACCGTGCAACCGGCAGGCAATGCGTCCGTCCGATCGGGCGACAAACATTCGCCCGTGCAAGCGGCAGGCAATCTCGCCGCGCAATCGATACGCAATAAAATCGACCGTGCAAGCGGCAGGCAATGTGTCCGTCCGATCGGGCGGCAAACATTTGCCCGTGCAAGCGGCCGCCATTGACCTTTCTGTAGAAACGCGCGCAGGGACGCCGTTCCACGCGCATCTACGGACATATATTTGAAAAATCCTGCAGAGAAATCATAATTTCTTATTTTCTTCAAAATCAGACTACTCTTACCATTTAATCTTCATCTTGATGTGCTATGTGATTGAACTCTGTAGTATAGGTGTTATGCTAACTTGGTTTCTCCTGTTATTTCGCGTAACTCCTTCTCTTCACCCACTTCTTGTTCACCTCCATTCATTCACTCATTTAGCAAATGATTACTCCATTCACTTTTTCATCCGAGAATTGGCGTACTTCGTGTAATTTTTTTTTCTGTGTTGCGTGCGCTTAGAAGATATGCTTCTTTACTATACATCTAAGAATTTTTCACTTCTGCTCATTGGTGTGCTGCCCTCGCACTCCTCCCTACTGATGAGCCTCGGGAGTGCATAATTCTTTTTGTTTCTGTCTAGGGGTAGAGGCGAAACAGATTTGTTTCCTTTGATCCTCTTTTGTAGTAATCGTTTTGCAATGAGAGCCGCATTATTTTTTGTCATGTTTTCCAAAAGAAGATTTTTAGATATGGACTTTTCAAGAGGCATTAGCTACGACCGAATCGGAAATCGTGCATATGGATGTAAGTTGCTTATGGTTTCTTTGACTCTTATGATATTACCGGCCTATCTTTTTGCTTTGTGTTAGACATAGTTATTCTTAACCGTCATTCAGTATGTTTAATCACAGAGCGAAATATCACCTGCTGCATTTTCAGTGATGCTGGACGAACGTTTGGATAGACTCGCGGAGGACAGGCAGGCACTTTTGGAAATGCGACAAAGAAGAAGAGCACATCAGCAACAAACAATAGAACCGTCGGAATATTTGAGTTAGTTGATTGTTTTAGTGTAACACTTACTTTCTATTTTATTATGTACTTACCTATTCCTTTGTACTTCTTTTATGCATGATGGATGGCGTTTTTCTCAACGCATAAATAAACTGTGTCTGACATGTGTTCAATTTCACACACGCAGATTTTGATACGAATGTGTATGATCAAGAAAGAGGAGACTCTCCCCCCACACAGATGCAGGCAGAAACCATCGAAGATGTACAAGAAGATGTACAAGAAACATTAGATTACAAGAACATGCGTATGTCCATTTCAGTGTTTGAAAACATTTATACACGTACCTGTGCCTTTAGCATTCAATGACCGCGTACTATTTTATGCTGACTATATCCAGCAATGCGGTCTTTCAAATGAAGGAGTGAAACTTTTGGAACAGTTAATGGCAGTTATATTCGGAACTTTACCTCCAATCAAGGTTCAACCTTTCTTTGGGAGAACCACTTACTAACTAGGATCTTCAGTACACCAGCCATGTGGTCCCTCTCAATAAGAATATACTGCAACAATATCAACACAAGAAGACTTACTTTTGTTACTCTTGTGGGGATATGCTACATCACTGGAGAGATAAGTGCGCAAACGCTATGTGCAGTCTTTATCGGTTTGTCTAAAATTCGCCTATTTTATCTTCAAAGTATATGCCCTTTAGTGTCGCCATTAAACGTGCGAAAGGAGTTCAGAGAGTAGAAGTTCACGTGCTAGATATGATTCCACAATTATCGGACCTGATGATGAAAGAAATCACCAATATCATTGATTTCCACCGCACTCTCCATGAAAACGGAGTAATTTTCAACACTGCCTATTCGATACATACTAAACCATAATCTATGCTCTCATTTTCACATCCAGGGTAACCCAGAAAACGATCGAAGCGACATGAGGTACTTTGATGGCTTCTACCGCAACATAGAAAGTGCTGAAGAATTTGGCGAAAAAACCATCAAAATCCTGATGTCGCTTTCGATAGACGGATTCGTTCCCAAGAGGCTTACCAGGTACGGTTCCAGATACAAACATATTCAAAACACATTTTAACTACGATGAAGTTATATTTATATAGACGCGAGATGTGGCCACTATACTTACGAGTAGATAATCTTCCCAGAAGTGAAGCTGACAAGTACACTAATTCTATCTTGTGCGGAATCGTTTATAGCCTCGGAAAGCCTAGTCTGAAAATGGTGGAATCGCTGTTTGGCAGGTTGCTTCGCAATCTTTTGGAGGTCTCCAACAAAACTCCGCTATGAAATTCTCTTCAAGGTTGGAATCAGAATTGAACGCACTAAAAGAAGAACCTATTAGAATAGATGTAAACGGCGAGATCTGGTCGTTAGAAATTCGTCTGCATCGTGGAATAGCTGACATGCAAGTGTGTTTTCTCTAGCTTTAATATTGTTAAGTATGAATGAACTACATTGCACAGGCGCAGAAAGCTCTTTTCGGAGTTCCGAGATGGTCTTCAGCGCAAGGCTGCTCAAAGTGCTACATCATGGGACAGCGGACGGAAGGACATAGAGTATGGATCCAGCAGGAAGAGGATAATTCCTCACTAAGAGAGCCCTCTTCGTATCGCATCGATGGACAGTTGGGCCGAAACGGAATACCAAGTACCATCCTTCAATAGAAATGCGATAGTTCTTATTTACTCTTTAGATGAGACACCGATAATGAGAATAATCAGGCCATGCGACTTCTCAGGAGATGCTCTTCACGTTTGTTCTGAAGGCATTACGAAAGACAGAATTAGAGGTCTGATTCAGAATGTTCCAGGAGTCCCTACAGTAAAAGTTTGATTCAGATTTGTTTGGCGTCAAGAGTAGATTTGTTGGCATGAGAGTCAGTAGAGAAGGCGTTGCGGGCATGAAGAAAGCACTGCAAGCAATGTCTTCGTATACATATGCAAGCAGCGTCATATTGTCGCTCGAAGACTTGCGAACATGCAAGGCAGCTGAAGTCGACGAGGTGTAGCACTCTAGATATCCTTTCCCGCTTCAAAAAACTGTTTTTAGCTCGCCTTCGTCGTTTTTCCCGCAGCTGCTGCTACAGGACTTATCCCTTCTCCTGTAGCTGCAGTCTCTCTACTTGGATACTGGCTGTGTCTCAGACTTATCTCTGATCCGCGATTGTTGACGACTCGTACGATTGAAAAAGCTCAGAAACTAGCCGATCTGACGAAGGGAATATGGATCACACTTGCACCGGGGATTTTTACGATGAAATGCCACGTTAGAGCTCTTTCATTATGGTGGCGCTTAACAATAACAAGCTTCAGTGGTTCTTCGATCATGGAATGAAGGAAGAGATAGAAAATCATGGAACTCTTTATCAGTGGTCAGCGGCTCCTTTCGAAAGCCATCACCGTCGTTTACAAATAAATGTGGATCAGACAACAACAAATTGTTCCACTGTGATGATCGAAAGGTAGCGTGTCAACCGTTCAACTACAACAAACTTGAAATTTTTCTAGATATCTGCTTTACAAAAAGATGAAATACCTAATTGAAGAGAAATCTACTAACAATAGTGATTTTCTTTCGCTGAGGAAGAAAGCTGATAACAAACATAAGGCTAAGTATGTTCTACATTTTCATTTACTAGAGAAGTGCTAATGAATCGTGTAGGTTTCCCCTCGATATCAGTGTGAATGCTTCCGTCTACATCCCTAAAGGAAGCAGAGTTGATCGGAATTTACTCGAGGAGGAACATAAAGCTATCATTTTGCAGAGTGGAGAAGAAGCCTAGTGCGATTTTGTTCTCCGTTTCTCAAAATGATCGCTCAACATAGATTTCTTGCAGCTCAAGAATCGTAATCCGAGGAAAGGTGTTTTCTTCACGAAAATACTGGAAACGAAAAGCGAATAGCCGTCAAGATTTGGTTTGGATCAGTGGAAATGACAACTCTGCAGAAGTGCAAGCAATCGGATCTATTGTTCTGTTTCTGTACTCACAGCAAAACCGTAGTGTTAGGGTGCTTTTGAATGAGTATCAAACAATAAGCCCATTCGCACATTTGAGAAATTGTGTAGAAAACGTTGATCATCCAATGCGAGAAACAGCACTGGAGCTACTGGATACCATTGATCAAAACAATATGCATTTCCGTGAGATTACCGAAAAAACTGTTCGTTTTCGCCCTATTTCATTCATCAAGTATGCTTGTACCTCTTTCAAATATGATTCGCATCTCTACGCCTCGAAAATGTAAACAACTCCTATAAAAGTTTGATAAATCCTTCCTTCTTACCAATGTGAGACGAATCAACTACTATATCAACCAGAACTGCACGTCCACTAAGCGAAAATGCCCGCAGAAGCAAAGTAAAGACTTTGACGTAATCACAGAAACTGATGACACAACCGATTTGACGTCTTTTTTGTGAAATCATCAGTTCTGTGGTCACTGCCGCTTTTTTCTTTATTGTTGTGTTGCCTGGACTTCTCTTTCATCTATAGAGTCCTATATGACCGAAATATGCTGATTCGTCAATCCTCTGGCAGGAAAAGGGCTGGTCTCCAACATCCGAAGATTTGTCGTGCTAAATTGCGCCGCGTTTCTGTGTTATGACGAAATGAAGACTTCGTCGTAATCACAGAAAATGATGACACAACAGACCTGACGGCCTATCTCGTTACGCCTCAGCTCAGCCCCTTTTCTCAGCCTCAGCTAGTGAATGCTTCATCGATCTATTTCGCTCATCGATGACTCGTCGTCAAGGTTGTTTATTTTGTCCCTATACATATATAACCTGTTACATTACAGAAATTTGACGCTTACAACGCTTTCACTTGCGAATTTGTGATGTAATCGTGGATTTGTTCGAAGGTTTTGTGAAAAAGGATCAGCCATTGGTGAGTCCAAGTTGCTTTGTTTGTTTTTTTTTGTTTGCTTTCGTTTTGCTTTTATCGATTTTTTCTTTTCAGTTGCTTTATGCTTGTGCGTCATCTTTTTCACCTATTCGCCATCGATTTTCTATCCTCTTGAGACTTTTTCAATGTTATCTTTTAGCAGGTGATGATGCTCTGTCTTTGCGTTTCCTCTTTTGTGCTTTACATGTAAATTTCTGCTCATTAGATCCAGTGTCAACAATCTGAGTTACTTTAGGCATGTCAATGATTGCTGTCTTTTACGCAAATGCTCGTAGAACTTGGAAAACTTTAAATCATCTGGATTATTTGGAATCAAATGTAAGTTTTGATTATCCAGTATAAGTCTGTGATGTTTTCATCTTCGTTTTTTTCCTTACGTTTGTTGCTGATGACCCTAGGTGCATCTTCGCACCTCTTGAGGCAACGTGACATTTCTCGCGCCCCAGATTAGTTCTCTAGTGCGAATGCAGGGCAGCCTTTCTAGAGTATAAGTAGGCGCTATCATCGAGTGATTCAAGGGGCAGTACCGGCGTCATTGAATATTTCATTCAATCATTTGAATCACTTGCACCTCATTCACTTATTCTGCGTAATTGCATCCCATTTGAAATTGCTAATTCATTCAATTGTTTTATCCATCCTTCCTTTATTCTGCAGTCAACACTATTCTATGTGATTTTCTCCCTTTCATCTGTGTCAACCTTTTATATCGCAATCAACATTGCTCTTCTGCCAAACTTTTCTTCTCCGAATTGATGCTGTTTTTGTAGACCACTCACATCTTCCAATGCAAACGCCGAAAACACGTGCGCGACCGGTGTTGCAGACGTTGTCAAATGTAAAGCCGGCTATGCAGACTTTGTCAAATGTAAAGCCGGCCATGCAGACTTTGTCAAATGTGAAGACACGAGCGGCTCCAGCGTAAGTTACTTAATAAATCATACTAAATCTTCTTATATGTCATTTGCAGAAGAACAGAACTATACGTCAGCGACACAAGTCCACAACAAACAACTCCTGGTAAGTAAATGGGAGTGCTTATCCCTCGTGTTGCCGAACATTATACTCATCTCATCTTATACTTTAATTCAGGGAATGTCTACAACAGGCCCGAATTGGACTTCGACACGACGGAAGAGAGAGACGCTCCCTCGTCTCTTTACGATTGCATCGTTGTGGGTACTCTCAACATGAAGGAAGCTGCGCAACTCATACTGGACCAAAAACGAAATGGACAGTTCAACAAATCGATTTACGATGTGAGTTTTCTATTGTTTATAATGACACTTGCCATCTTCATCAACCACTAGGAGTTCGTAAGATCGGAGGCCGCTTCCCGTGTGCAAAACTTCTGCTTCGATGGACTGCTGGACCTCGACGACGCCGTTCTGGAGATGCGCTTATGTAACCTCGCCAATTCCCTGCTGGTAAGTAAACCAGGGTTGCAGAATTGAAATAGTAAAGTACTTTTAGGGTCAAATCCAGTGCGCCAAGCTCGACCGCAGCAACCGGATGATCGAACTGACCGGGCGCGAGCTCAGTGGTGTCGGAAGTAAGCCCACAATTTCGCTAAGAAATTGTGTTCGGATCTGGAACATCGAAGGACCTCCCCCATTCATTACGGTTAGCAATCACATCAGCATGGTTCAGATTTGGCAGTACCTTTGTTCTTCTACTTTTCTTTTCAGACGCCAATGGAGGAGCTGATCGAAAACTACAAACCAAAGGGGAGCAACAATCTTTTCCAGATGTTTGCGTGTTTTTACCGGTTTCTGGTAATGAGAGTAAGTATCATTTCAACTCATTTGCAACTTCATATTGAATGCTACAAGACTGATTTAGATAACTGACCCACCGCATCGCATCCAAAGCTACTCTCTGCGCCTGAATGGCAAGCGAGGACGCAAGGACTCTTTGGAAAATTTACCACGCCACATCGAACACCTATTACTGGGTAACTTCAAAGTCAAGTTTTTTGCTAATCTTACGATTTCCAGATTTCGTCGAAGATCTTATTGGATTCGGCCACAACGAGCTGAAAAGTGGGGCACGAGCCAATACCACCCATTCAAAGTGAGTTCGGAGCCTTATTTGTTTTGTTCAATATTTGATACTTTCAGATATGTGCTAAGCCTCGGCAATACGGATGCAGAACGACAAGCAGCTCTGGATGCGAAGGTGCAGACCAGGATGGTGTACAGGAACGAACTGTTCAAAGCCCTTCAGCTAGCTCTGTGAGTATCCTTTAGTTATAAATAGCAAATAAGTTTTATCGCTAAACTGCTTAATTTCAGTCGAGACGTGCGCACGTATACCTATGATGAAAGCAAAAAGGTGTGGATTGCGGGCGACGTAAGCTTACATCTATTTATCAATGAAGGATATTTTGAAATAAACATTTTTAGAGGAAGTTGAAGCGGGCCAAGCTGGACGCCTCAATAAACTTGAGGGAGGCGCTGGAGGACTCTATGAATTTGACTGAAGCCTATGATCAAGAAAACCTGGTACCAGCGTCACAGTAATCCACGCATCAATTTATGTGGTAGATTTGTATTTGTATGTAAAATATATAGAGCTTTTATATCACGGGTGGCCGTATAGGCTATTATTTTGTACCGTCTGAGAAATTCTTTTGTTTGTTAATGTCTGCATTGTTTTTTTGAAACAGTTAAATGAAGTGATTGCTGACTCTTACTGTATTCTTTGCAAAAAAATACTTGTAAATTTGCAATTTTCTCTATGGGGCACTGCAAGCGCACCGCTTTAGTCAAGCAAGCAATAGGCAATCATGTCGTGCAAGCGCCAAGCCTTATACCTGCAAACGATAGGCAGTCGTACCGTGCGAGCGCCAAGCTTTACCCCTGCAAACGGTAGGCAGCCATACCGTGCGAGCGCCAAGCCTTACCCCTACAAACGGTAGGCAGCCCCACCGTGCGAGCGCCACCCCTTACCCATGCAAACGGAGGGCAGCCGTACCGTGCCATCGCTACAACGTAAATGCGCAAACGGTAGGCAATAGCGTCGTGCAAGCGCCACACCTTACCCCTGCAATCGGACCTTCATCACCGTACAATCGCACACACCAACGAGCGATTGTAGCGGCACTGCAGACCGCCCGCACGGTGCGAGTCCCTGAGTGGTACACTGGGGTTATTTTGCATGCTGATCACGAATATGATGTTCATTCTGAACTGCGTGACCATTTAGCGATGTTACGGTAGGAATACGGTAGTTGGGCGAAAGTCACGAAATTTGCTGAAACTTGGTACACTGGGGTTATTTCGCATGCTGATCACGAACATAACATTCGTTTTTCGCTACGGGACCACGGGGCGGGATTACGGTAGGTATACGGTAGTTGGGCGAAAGTCATAAAATCGGGTGAAAATTGGCTTTGTGGGGTTTCTTGGCACGCTGATTACGACTATGACATTTTTTCACCATTCGCCCACATAACGAGGTTACGGTAGGGATACGGTAGTTGCGCGAAAATCACGAAATTGGCTGAAACTTATCTGGCGGGGTTATTCGCTGCGCTAATTCGAATATGATTATCATTTTTCACCGTGGAGAGATAGAGCAGGGTTACTGTAAGAATTTGGTGAAAGCCAAAGTCACATAACAGATTCAAAATTGGTTCGCTCGGTGGCGTGATGCGGTGTGTTGATTACGATCACATTGCGCGTTTTTCACTACAGCGGTGTATAGCGGAGAAGAGATACGGTAGACTACCCAAAATCACAAGATTTCATGAAAGTTGGCTTCGTGGGGTAATTCCGCACGTTATTACGAATAATATCACAGCCGCTTGAAAATACCTTTCAAAAAGGGGTTTCGGTGGATTTACGAGGTAGATGGATAAAAAAATCTTGCTGAGGACTTTTTTCAGAGGAAGTTTAGCTAAATATTTGGTTACCAGCGACGAGCGCACGATTTCCGTCCGGGGGGGGGGCTACTAAATTTTTCAAGTGAAGGTGCGTGGCGTTGGTTCGCACTCAGACAATTTTTTGGGCTGCTTCTTAACGTTTTTTGCTGGCCCATACCCCTAAATTCTGGGATAAGGGGGCGTGTCAGCAGCCACGCTTCAAAAAATTTTTTTCACAAGGCTAATTCAAATTTTTAACATTTTTTAAAAGATAAATTTATTATTTTCAAGAACGAACAAGTCATTTGCACATTTTTATAACCCAGTAGATGAATTTCAAAAATTTCGTGACCCATTCTCGGGAGGAGGGGAGCCTCCCTTTCGGTCCGCCACTGTTAGATACTTAATATTTCTCTACTGCAAGACCATGCGATGGAGTTACAGTAGATGTTGTGGACTAAACTTAAAAATCGCCACTGAGTTCATTTGGCACTGCAATCATAAACATGCTGACCGTTCTTAATGAGGACTAACTTGCACACCCGGCTCCGCTCGGCCCTGTCAAAACGCTGTAATAAAGATCCCATCCCTATCCCTGTACAGCCTTTCCCTGTGCCCACTTCTACACTTCTTTTCCTGTTCCCTGTGTTGTTATCGAAATCAGCATCCCCACTTACCTTCTGTGCCAACTCCCAGCCCCGTAGGTGAACTCTGCAAGAATCGATAAAAATCGATATCGATCGATGACGAAAAGTAGCCTACGACACGCTCCTCACCTCACCCCGAAGTGTATGTGTACCAAGTTTGATCCAAACTGGTTCAATAATTTTTATTCCGCACATACGTACAGACATACATACAGACACACATTCAGCTTTATATGTAAGATGATTACGGTGGGCATATACGAAAGAAGGGCGAAAATCTCAGTTTTTTTTCTTTTTTCAAAATCTCAATTTCGAGTCCCCACTTGAGTTGAACTTTTCTAGCAAAAGGTAAAAGGGGGCATTTTTTAAATTATTTCTCATTTATTGTGTCAACAGAAACCTCGGAAAATTTTTTCGAAATCTTATATACAGGGTGTCCCAAAAGTAAGTACACACTTTTCAATCGTCAATATCTCTCTTCCCAGTGTGTCTTTTTCTACCATTCAAGTACCATTTTGTAGAGGAGGCTTCACTTTAGACTTACTGCACCGATCAAATCACCGATCGTCTTTCATTACTGTGAGGTTACGGTAGGAACTTCCAGCATGTGGAAACATAGAGAAATATGCCATATGACAAAATTTTTTTCAAAAATTCTGAAAAATTGTGTACTAGGGTTTTCGCGCACGCTGATCTCACTACACAACTTTTTACGAGTGTTTCAGCCTTTTTACCGTGTAATCACATTTCTGACAAATACTGGGAATTCGGTTATCACGGTTTATCTGGGATAACTTTGGAAAGAAGCATCACAGTAAAATGCAAATTTCATATTCGAATTCAGCGGCTTCCATTACCATAGTATAAGAGATTTTGGCTTGTTCGGTTTTGTTCCGAGGCAGAATACGGCTTCCAATGGCCTAAAATGCTTGTCCAAGTTCCTACAGTAATCCTACAGAAATGAAGAGAGGTTGATAATTCGGTCAGCACTGCATATCTAAGTTGAAGCCTCCTCTACAGAATGGTGCTCAAATGGCAGAAAAAGACTCAACGGGAAGGGAGATATTAGCGATTGAAAAGTGTGTACTTACTTTTGGGACACTCTGTATAAAGCTGAATGTCTGTTTGTATGTATGTCTGTCTGTCTGTACGTATGTTCCGAATAGAAAATTCCATTTCTGAACCGATCGGGACAAAACTTGGCACACATACACTTCGGGCCCCGGCGGGTGTCATAGGCTACTTTTCGTATCGATCAATATCGATTTTATCGATTTTTTGCAAAATTTGAGCTACGGGGCTGGGGATTGGCACGGGGGGGGTAAGTGAGCATGCTGATCACCGCCGTGGGGGTGATCAGCATGCTCGATTACACCCCTCTGCCAAATTCCAGCCCCCTAGCTCAAATTTTGCAAAAAATCGATAAAATCGATAAAAATAATGCACGGTTTCGAAAACTAATATTGTATTCGTAATCAGCATGCTCGATTACACCCCTCTGCCAACTCCCAGCCCCGGCTCAAACTTTGAAAAAAATCGATAAAATCGACATCGATCGATAACGAAAAGTGGACTATGACACCCGCCGGGGCCCGAAGGGTATGTGTGCCAAGTTTGGTCCGGATCGGTTGAGAAATGGAATTTTCTATTCGGAACATACGGCGGAGCCGGGTAAGCCAGCTAGTATCTTATATTATTTAGAGGTATTCTGAAATTCTAACAGTCGATTTACGAATGATCTGTAGACTTTGTTTACTACGACTGTTTACAAATAATCAAAATAATTTTTAGAATTTTTTGAAAATTCAATTTAGTCTTGTAAAAAAATTTTTCCGGAGCTTTTTTCTAGATTTTAGGGGCTATAGACCCGCAAAAATTTTGAGATGCACCCCAAAAAAATTTTCAGAGTGCGTGGCTAAGGCCACGCACCTTTACTTGAAAAAAACTTTTGCCACGTCCCCCCCCCCGGTGCCGAAATCCTGGGATCGCCACTGCTAGGCACCTCACAGGCAAGCCTACCGCCTCTCCACGTGTCTTGACATGTGAGATCTTGATTGAGGGGATACATTAAGCAATTGCAGCAAATCAACAATAGTGGTTCTTTAGCCTAGTGGTCTAGTAGTAGGCACTTGGCGCTGAGCAACGAAAGTTCGAGTCCCGCTTAGTGGCAGCGTTTTGCGGTGAAGCGTGTGGCGGTTCCTCAACAACTAGAGCGGAGCCTCAAGTAGTAGAACGAAACTCCGAGTTTCAGAAACGAAACTCGCAGTTAACTCTGAGTTTCAAAACGAAACTCAGAGTTAACTCTGAGCTAACGCGCTGCTTTAAACTCGGAGTTTCGATCAGATTACTACCGGCCCTGCTATTTGTGGACTACAGGACGCCCCTTGTGGTATTCCCCTAACTTGCTTGTACACCTTTCCTGCAAAATATACATAGCTATATTCCAATAATACATCTAACATGTATAATATGTCCTCTACTTGGTAATATTTACCTTTACCTTTCGTTTCATTGGAGCATTCAACTTTGCCGTTGTAAAGCTTGACGAACTTATATCCTTTCATACATAATAGAATAAGTTTTTTGAGGCTGGTCCTTACGACATTATGAGGTAGATTAGTGAATAGACTCGAAAAATCCGCCGAATAGATTTCCAAATTACTAGTGTTACTAGTAAGTTCCTGTATGACTTGTCTACTGTTATCAATCGCCCAAAAGTGTTTAACGTTGGTTCTTAGCTTAATGACGTTACAGTAGTTACGAAAATATTTACGAAAGTGAGATAGTATTATCTGTAGCATATTTGTCAATGGTTTCAAAATACTTCTTTTCGCTCCAGTTATAAATCTAAACTTGATAGGATCTTGATGCATTTTAGGAATTCCATATATCCTTGGTATTTCTATGTAATCATGTCTGTTTTTAATGCCCAACCCGTTCAATTTGTTACATTGTATCCTCTTTACTTCTTCTAAATCAAATGGTGTTTGTACGTACGTATTTTCACCCGCTCCTATTCTTTCCATTTCTTGTTTTAGCATATGCATGTAAAGTTTCTTGCATATTACACAAAAATTAGAACTGGCTTTGTCTACAGGGGTAATAACAAAGTGTTTATGAATAGAAGATAAACTACTATAGTTATAGTCATCTCCTTCTTTTAGTTTATTATTGTAT